GGGGGGGGGGGGGTGTCCTTCATCATAATCCAGTTTCCACACCTGCACAACGTGTACACATTTACTGACCACTAGCTATATTCCACATGCTGTGCTAAGAGTCAATTCATGTAAAGGTTTCTCAAATGAATGCTCCTTTCCGAGTGTAACGTGACAAGTTTTGTAAGATAAATGATATTTTATTAACTTCTTTGAGTCAATCTATTTATTGGGCACCCACTTGGAAGAGGCTCAAGGAACACAGTCATCTTTCCTTTGGATACCACTACAGTGTGATCTGTTTTACATCTATTCTCCATTTTCCAAAGAGGACTAATGGTTGCAAAAGTAAATTGGTCCCATAAAACTGCTTCCTCCTAGAAGCACCAAATATCTGTACCTATTAATGGAAATCTATAGGTACTTCACAGCTCCCTGGCAGCTAGGGTGTTCTGGCTTTCTTCTGTTTGCCAAGGCACTGCCACCTCCCACCAAGGAAGGAGCCTGAAGCTGCAGTACAGCAAGAGGAAGCCCAGGAGGAAGGGACCAGCCACCAAGGCTGCCCAAACCTGCCCCGTATCCAGCCCCACCTGTGGCCATCCAAGCCCTTCCAACTAGGCCATTTAACAGGAACCTGAGGCAAAAAACAAACCTTACTTCTAAGGAATGCAAAAAGTCTCGGCCAGGCCCCCTTCCCTCCTTGTCCTGCTCTGCTCCCTCCACAGGGAAGGCTACAGACTCTTGCCCACCCAGCCCCAAGCAAGACTTCTGAGCTGCCTGGGCAAGTGGCCCCACCTAGACTGGCCAAGGAGCTTCACCAGCTAGAAATGCCGTCTCCTAGGAGCCTACAGCTCACAGAGGCTCGGCCACAGCCACAGCACCTCTTCCTGCTTCATGGGTTCTGCTCCTTATCTGACCATTTTCTGAGTTCCTGTTTCCTATGTGAGAGACAATTCTAGGTCTATGCTTGGCTGTAAAGCTAAGGTGATTGACAGGTTTTGAACATGGCATGTTGAGGCCCACAGCTCCAATCCCATATTCCCTCCATACATTTTTCATTCTCCAGAAGCACTTTTTCAGACCTCACTGGTCCATTTTCCATCCTACTTCCCTCGGCAAAGCCAATGCCCCAGGGCACTGAGGAAGAGTCTGTTCAAGTTCATGGAATGGGTACATTCCTGCGAGGATGAATGGGTGAGCCCAGGCCTGCATTTTGCAGAGGAATCTGGCCTAGAGAGGTTAAGCAACTCAACTAACTCAAGGTCACAAAGCCAAGGAGGGACAAGATTAGAGCCCAGGCTCCTGAGGCCTGGGTGCACTGCTCCTATCCCCAAGCTGCAAGAAGGGACACACAAAGATGAGCAGGTGAGGGGTGGGAGGAGAATGCAGGCTAACCAAGTAACAGCCTCTGAAACCCCCCATCATCTCTGTAGGAGGGAAAGGCATCCTTGCTGCCTTCATGGCTCCAGTGCTCAGCCCAACACTGTAGCCTGGGAGGAAAGGTGGACTTGCACTCAGCAGTCTTGGAGAGCTCATCTCCCCTCCAGAGCCCTGGTTTCCAGGCTGCCACAGGAGTGTCCTCAGGCTCTGCCTCACCTGTCCTGAGGGGAGTTTGCCTCTGCAGTTGCTCCAATGTCTCCTCAATGTGTAAATTAAAGCTAATGGGAGTGTGGTGTGCATACTGGGCACTGAGTTTCCTTTTCTTTCTCTTAATATAATGTATGCCACTAAGGATTTCAACATGGGGCAGAAGTCCCTGGTTTCACTCCTGTCAGAGATAAAGTGAGCCCTCACAGCCTTCACAGGCACAGGAATCTGCCTTAAAATTGAAGAGCAACATTAACTGCTGGAAAAATACCTAGAGTCCCCTCCACCTGCACTGCTCTGGCCAATCCTATTTTAAATTAGATAGCAATCTCACTCATCTAGACTCTGAGCCACCTGATCCCACCTCACATGACTTTGGGAAAAGATAAAGCCAAGTGTGTGTGATCTGTTGGAGCCCCCAACCAGCAAGACCCACTGTCCCATGGGCCCTACAGAAAGCCTAGGCCCAAGCCTCCAGAAACTCTGGCAGCAGAGATCCCCACAGGCTCCAGGAGAAGCACAGTAACATGGGTCCCAGGAAGCATAAGGAGCGAGGGATCAAGGCGGTCTCAGAGGTGAGAAACAGAACAGATGTGAAGACCCTTCAATGTCCTCAGGAGGCCACTAATGGCTGTTGTATGGCATGACAGCAGAGAGGTAGGGACAAAGAGTGATGCTGGAGCCAGGTGAAAAGACAAACATTCTGTAACACCTAAAAACACCAACAAGGTACCCCCTACCCACTCCACATACCCCTGGTTACTAGATCACTTTACTGCTCCCCTTTACAGCGAATCCACTAGGAAGAAAGAACCTGCCCTGTGCGTTGTCTGCACTTCCTCAACTCTCTCAAACCCTCCTCTCACTTCCAAATTGCCACTGTCAACAACAACTTGCACAAGGACCAATCCATAGGTCAGGCCCACATCCCACACACTTGACCACTCGGCAGCATCTACCCAGGCTGCAGCACCCTTCTTCAAAAACCATTTGGTCCTGTGGCCCCTGGGTCCCTGTCCTCTCAACTCATGAACAACAACCTATCCTGCCCACCGCCCCCCCCCAGCCTTCTAGAAGAGCCTGTTCCAAGTGCCAATCTCTGTGTGTGGAGGTGACTCAGATTCAGGCCTTGGACCTTTTCCCCTTGCTAAGTGCCCTTCAGTGGCTGGCCAGCTTGCTAAGGCAGTCCTGGCCCCTCCCTGAGCTCTGCTGGCAGCCACCCAGCAGCCCACTTGGCCCTCCAGCAGCTACCAACTACATGTCAAATGCCAACTCAACATCCACTTTTGGCCTGGCCTCTCTCCAGTCTCTTCCGGCTCAATTACAGCATCATTGTGCACCCAGATTCTGAGGTCTACCCCTTAGAGCCACCTTGACTCCATTCTCCCTCACCCGTTCACTTATAGGAACCTTCACTGAGCCCAGCCAGTGTTGCTCAGTGGTTGAACATCACCCCCATGAACCAGGCGGTCACGGTTCGATTGCTGGTCAGGGCACATGCCGAGGTTGTGGGCTCAATTCCCAGTAGGGAGCGTGCAGGAGGCAGCTGATCAATGATTTCCTCTCATCATTGATGTTTCTATCCCTCTTTCCCTCTCCCTTCTTCTCTCTGAAATCAACAAAAATATGTATTTTAAAAAAAGGAACCTTCCCTAAAGCAGCAGCCAGAGTGAACGGTTGCCTTGCTGGAGACCTTTCTGGGCTCCCTGACAGACTTAGAAGAAAATCCAAAATTCTCACCAGGTCTCTGAAGCTCGAAGAGCTGACCCTCGCCCAGCCTTTCACTCCACCCACATATACGTGCTCCTATCCTCGCTCTGTCCAGGTCTCCACCTGACACTGTCAACTCAGACCACCGAGCTAAAATTACCTGGCTTTACGACTCTTGGTCTTTCAGGTACTGATCACCTGTGTTACTTAACTCCTGAATGGAAACTTAAGACAGTGCCCTCATCTTATTTACCAGCACATTCCCATCACCCAGCATTCACCAAAGACTTCTCAATAAACAGAACATATTCAACTGACAGCTGATGAAGCCAGAAAATAGTGTTAAGGGGGGAATAGGACTGAACAAAGTTTTAACCCAGAAGAATTTGTGTATAGAGAGGAGGACAGGGAAAGGGAGTCTGAACTGGTGGGCATGGAAGGTGGGGGAGGCAAACTCTCAGACACTGGACCAACTCTCCAACTGCTGTGGTGAGGGGAAGGGGCTCTGGAGACCTTGAAGACAGGAGGAAAAGAACAGATGCAAAAACTGAGGTTTAAACCTGAACAAACTCTGAACCAACTCCATTTGACAGTCCAACCTCTCTCAGCTGAGTAGAAACCAAGAGCATCTGCTGGGATTGAGAAGAGAGTCACTGGGCAAACAGGCTCAGGGAATTCTTGGTTTGGAAGAACAACTGCAGTAAAGGAACTGAGGAGTGAGGAGAAACTGGCCAGTCTGGCTGCATGATGGGAAGATCCAGAGATAAGCTGCATGACACAAGATGTGTGGCCCACCCTGATTGCCATGGTGCCTTGCCTTCCTGATCCCTAAGTAAAGGTCAAAGAGTTAAGAGGAGAAGTCAGGGAACGTAAGATGCCCTCAAATAAAGCAAAAAATCAACAGTATGACGTCTCTGATGGAGCTGCAGCCGCACATCCGTGGAGAGCCAGAGGCACTGGGATATCAGAGATAAAAACAGGCACTGAGAGCAAGTTCCATAGAGAACAGGAGGAAGGAGGCTGGAGACCCCAGGGAAGGGACAGCATCTATGTATAGGGAGATTGGACTCTTATGGGTCACTCCCTGGACTTCTCACCTGGGGGCTGAGACTGGTAAAAATGTCCCTTCCAACCAAACCCTGAACACCTGAGCCAAAGAGGTCAGATAGGTGCCCACCTTCTAGGAGCCCCAGGTGCCCAAGACCATTTTTCCTCTCTCACTTCCCTGCTTTGATAGATAGATATTCCAAGAACATTGGTTAGAGGAATGAGGGAAGCCTCTGAATAAGTGTACAGCAACCACGGGTTTAAATAATAACAATCCTATAGATATAATGCTTATTAATAAAAAACCTAAAAACTGTTTGTGATGATCTCCCTTGAAGTAATCCCAGTGGGCCACAGCCATGCTGTGAATTCCTTTGTATTCAGAATACACAGCCCTTTTCCTTTCCGGGAGAAGGGGCCACTAGCAAAAACAACAAAGGTGTCATGATGCCAAAATAATAAGGGGTCACTGTGGGATTTTAGAACGCTTTGACTGTTCAAAGGATACACAGCTTTTCATCATCCTGAAACGTGAAGTAAAGTTTAACAAAGAAGGGGTGATCCAGGCGCGACATCACGTCTCTCTCTCTGGTTACATACGGGACCTTGTTCTCTTTGATAATGTGACGTTTCTCTAGAATTTTAACTTAAGGTAAGAGAAAAGCGAGTTACCACAATTTGAAACAGTAAGAAAACACTAAAGACACAACTCATAAAGTTCAAAATTTTGGTACAAATGCAGCTACCGGCTTCATGGTCTGTAAGACAGAACAACAACAGTGTCCTATCCCCTAAAATCAGCACAGAAATCCCCAAGTGCTGGGCAGTGCCAGGTGGCCGTGTGCCCAAAGGTGTGCTGTCCCTGCATCCCAGACAAAGCTTGCTGGAGTTAGTACTTACTAGCATATTCTCTTGAGGTTGCCAGTTCTCGGGCCAGGACAACCTGGTTTGGGAAGAAATGGGGGAAGAGAAGAGAAAATACACTAAATGTAACCAGGGCACTGAGTCTCGCAAGTAACCCCGAAACCAATCATGCAGGCTACCCCACACCCACTGTAAAATTACATTTAAATATTTGAAATTACATTTAAATATTTTTGGTCCTGTGCTATCAAATATAGATGAATGTCAATGACCAAATTAATGCATTCCAAGAGTTAACAGCAAACACATATATCTCTCCACTATTTCCAGGAGGTTTTTCATCAGCTGCCAATAGTCCCCACTGTGTAGTCAAGTATACGGGTAGGAACATCTAGACCAGCATCACACTCCCAAAAATCAGGAAGCAGCAGCAATTGAAACCTCCACAAGTGGGTACTGGGAATGTCTTCAAAAAATAACTTTAAGAATATGTCCTCAGTATATGTTCACTGTAAAAGCCACACCATGTTTGGGCTTTTTCAAATAATTGTTACCAAACATCTCATTTCATGCTGCTCTCAGATACCATAAATACCATTCCTGTAATCAAGGGCACAGGAGATGAAATCACAAGTAGCCTGCGGATAGCACCTCCTGGGAGTCCTGCTCCCTCATCACAGACCACAGTCACACTCCTGGCTGTGTCCTCTCTGTGGTATACCCGAGTCTGGTGCTCAAACTCTATTTGGGGAACAGAGCGCCAATGGCGCATCACACAATATGGGAAAGGCCTTTCTACACAAGGAAACCCTGGGAACAACCTAAGCACCAACTTCCAAATGCCTGATGAGCCCAGTGTGTGACAACGTGCTGGGTGGCCCCGACCACTGCCAGCTGGTACAAATGTCTCTCCTAAGACACCTGCAGGGGGAAGATGAGAGTAGGACCAGAGAATAGATGAAAACCTGCCCAACTCCTGGGATATCCCTAGGCAGTCTGAGAAGACCGCAGGAGGCCACAACCAGGTTCATCCAGCCCCTGAATGTGAGTTATATGCCGGTACAGAATTCTTTACCAGGCTTATTAGAAGCAATCCTGGAAAAGTACTGTGTGAAATGTCCTACAGTCATTAAGGATGAGGTTGGATTGTACATACTCAAGTGGAAAGATCTCAAAGATCTTTACAGAGGAATGTACCTGTGTGAACTGTTCTCAGGTACTGGGGAGAGATGGGGCAGTGAGCTGATTATGCATTTATGCAATATTAAATTTCATAGGAGCACGTACTAGCTATGTAAGTAAAAAGAACTGTTAAAGAGTACTAATATTTAATGAAAATCTTTCTGAAGGAGATAGTTATGTCACCTTTCTGTTGTGTGAATTCAGCATTTCACATACAGGTTTCCCTATGGGCAGAGGGCAGGGAGTAACCCTCTTCCACAGAACACAAGATAGACACATCCCTCTGCACCACTCAGGCTGATGACAGAACTAATCTGAACACCATGATTAGCCACTGGAAGGAAGCCAGAGATGGAGGAATTTCACAAATAAGTCCTCCTTTTTCAGTCAGAATAAATGCTCAATGAAGTAAAGTTGAGAAAGGAGAGAACTCTTCTTTTTAATGGGCAATTGTAAGAACAAAGGTTGTCTTCAAAATAGTTCCTTCCTCCTGAAAGGATCTGTAAGTACCAAAAGGAGCAGGGACTATCCTCACAGTTGAAGGTTTTTATTCTAAGGACACAATTCTTTCATAATTTAAACAAAAATTGCCAATTAAAAAATCTAAATTAAAAATGTAAGGGTAGTAAAAATTAACATTAATTAAAACACTGAATACGTGAGTGAGCTATAATATTTCACGTTCTTTATATTTTGAAATATTTTATAAATAAAAAAAGAGAAAAGGAAAACAAATTTCACATAAGGTTTCTTCACAAAGGCCAGGCAAGGAAAATTCATTGTTCAGAAACCCTGCAGCATTAGGGGCCTCCAGTGCCACCCTGCTATGTCCACAATGCACGCAGGGCCCAGCTTGGAGACCATGGTGGCAGGGAGCTGTCTTTTTATGAAGGCACAGATTCAGGCTGTGCACCCCAGCTGGGGAGCAGGTACTCAGGCCTCCACCAAGCCCGCAGCAAGCCCCCAGCACCTCCATAGCCAAATGGGACTGCCACCTCAACAAAGGGGCTGGTTTGAACCTTCATTTCTTTGCTGTAAAAGGAAAAATACCACAGGACAGACAATTTACTCCAGGAGCAAAGAGTTGCCCTGAGTGTGATCTAACAGTGTCATATAATATTTGTTTATAAAACTGAGGACACATAATCTAGAGGCCAGCAGGTCTTGGGCTGTAACTCTAGCAAGTGTCAAGAATGTAATGTTTTATGTATTTTTAAAAATATAACAACAAAAAAAGGTTTTTAAATGTTTTCCCTAAAACCCTGAGGAGATACTAATACCAATACTTACTTTTAATCTAAGGAACAGAAAAGCTTCCTAGAGCCTTGCCAACGTGACACAAAAACACGAAATGTTAGCAACCTGCTGATGTCTGGTTAGAATAAAATGAACTGCCATTTTAAAAAAAAATAAAAAATAAGATCAAGTGATGCCTTTTAAAGCTTTCATCTACATAATCATGACTTAGATATTTAGCCATGTGATCTACTCGGTGGCCCCAAGTCACCTTGAGAACAGGAGAGGAACCCCCAGGGGCCTGAGACCCTCCTCCAGGGAAGACTACCACCCCGGTATCTGAGCCTCCCAGTTCTGAGCCTGGAAGGTCAGTCTATCCAAGGAAAACACACTCATAAGAGCAGCATGTACTTACTGTTGAAAAAGAGCCTTCACCAAGTATTTTCCCAAATTTGAAGTCTTCAGGTCGTTTTTTCCGAGGCTGTGGTGGTGGCTGTACAGCATGTTGCAGAGAGTTGGCACTTGGTCTGGACTCGGCCGCAGTGCTGTCCATGGTGGGGCCCTGCCTGCTACCACCGCTAGGAACAACAGGGGCCGTTCCGGACTCAGTCTGGGTCCTCACCATTGATGGGGATGGGCAGGAACATAACACCACACTGGACTGAATAGGAACGGTGTCATACTGGTGGACACAGGAAAAAGAGGTAAGACTCAAAGCAGTTTACTTTTCCTAAATGCATGAACTAAAGTGTTGACATTGTTGAAACACAAATGCCAAGCACAGACAGGCCATCTGACATTCTGCTGCATGGCTCAGGCTGCTGCCCTCCTCTCCCAAGTCCCTTCCCTGCTCAAATCCCAGCCCTCCCTGTCCTGCTTTCCCACAAACCCCAGTACCCACTATCTGCCCTCCTCCTCCCTTAGCACTGCCTGAGTCTCCAACACCAGCCCCACCCAATCCAATGACAGTTAGCCTGCTCAACACTGCCCAGCTTAAATGACATCTGCAGCCAACCTTTGTTCACAAAGGAAGTCAGTTCAAACCCTGTGACCACAGTGTCTACCGTTTCAGAACCCTTTGCCCTGCTCACCCACCCATAGCTGATATAAAGACTGGACACACTGGAATGCACTCAATTAGGGCTTGAACAGACTGGCTTGAGACTGCATCCCACAGCCAAACAGAATTTTAACCTCACAGTCCTGGAACACAGAAGTATAAATTAATGGAAAGAATAGTCCAAGAACAGCCAACTTCACATTATAAAGTTATAGTTGACAAAAATATAAGCTTCTCCAAAAAAACCATTGTAGTGAAGTAATTGGTTAACAATTTGGAAAATAACTGAGTTAAAGTCTAACTGCTCCCTACACACCAAACAAATTTAAAAACTTAATTTTAAAAATTATTCTGCCCAGCTGGGCATGGCTCAGTGGTTGAGCATCGACCTAGGATCCAGGAGATCGCAGTTCGATTCTCAGTCAGGGTACATGCCCAAGTTTGGGGCTCCATCCCCAGTTGGAGGCAGCTGATCAATGACTCTCTCATCATTGATGTTTCTATCTCTCTCTCTCCCTCTCGCTTCCTCTCTCTGAAATCAATAAAGATATATATATATATTTTTAAGTTATTCAATGTTATCCCTATCAAAATCCCAACTGGCATCTTTGCAGAAACTGACAAGCTGATCCTAAAATTCATATGGAAATCCAAGGAAGCCAGAATAGCCAAAACAATCTCCAAAAAAGAACGAAGTTGGAGGACTCACATGTCTAGATTTCAAACTTACAAAAATCTATAGTAATCAAGACAGGATGGTACTGGCATAAGTAGAGGCATATATATGAATAGAACAGCCTAGAAATAAATCCATACATCTACTACGGCCACTGATTTTTTGTTTTTGTTATTGTTGTTTTAATCCTCATCTGAGGATATTTTTTCTATTGCTTTTCAGAGAGAGTGGAAGAAAGGGAGGAAAGAGGAGTGAGGGAGAGGGAGGGGGAAGGAGGGGGAAAGGGAAAGAGAGAGAGGGGGAAAGAGAGAGAGGGAGGGGGGAGGGAAGGAGAGAGAGAGAGAGAGAGAGAGAGAGAGAAACATCGATGTGAGAGAGACACAATGACTGGTTGCCTCCCTCATGTGCCCCAACTGGGGCTGGGGATTGAACCACAACCCAGGTACATGCCCTTGACCAGGAATCAGAATCTGTGACCCTTCAGTGCACAAGCCAATGCTCTAACCACTTAACCACATCAGCCAGGGCAGGCCAACAGATTTCTGACAAGGATGCCAAGACCCTTTAATGGGGAAAAATCGTCTTTTCAATAAATGGTGCTGGGACAACTATATATCCACATGCAAAAGAATGAAGTTGGATGCCTTTCCCACATCATATACCAAATTTAACTCGAATCAAAGATCTACATGTAAGAACTAAACTATAAAACTCTTACAGAAAAATATAGTAGTAAATTTTCATAACCTTGGCAATGGTTTCTAAGATATGAAACCAAAAGCATAAGCAATGAAAGAAAAAAACAGGTCAAAAGGACTTCATCAAAATTAAAAACTACTGTGTTTCAAAGGTACCATCAAGAAAGTGAAAAGACAACCCATAGAATGGGAGAAAATATTTGCAAGTTATGTATCTGATAAAGGTCTTGTAGCCAGACTATATAAGGAACTCTTAAAACTCAATTAAAAAACACACAAACACACAGTTTAAAAACAGGCAATGGATCTGAATAAACATTCCTCCAAAAAAGAAATACAAATGTCCAATAAGCACATGAAAAGATGCTCAACATCATCAGCCATTATGGAAATGCAAATCAAAGCCACAATGAGATTTCACTTGAACCCACTAGGATGGCTAAAATTAAAAAGACAAATAATAAGTGTTAATGGGAATATAGAGAAATTGGATTGCTCATACATTGCAGCTGGGAATATAAAATGATGCAGGCACTTTGGCAAATAGTCTGACAGTTTCTCAAAAAAAAAAAAGAGCTACCATATAACCCACAACCCAGCAACTGCACTCCTTGGTATATACCCAAGAGAAATGAAAATGCATTTGTACAAGAATGTTCATAGTGGCATTACTGATAGCAGCACCAAAAGGTGGACACAACCCAAATGTCCATCAACACATAAATGGATAAACAAAACACAATACAGCCATAGAATCAAATATTATGCAGCCATTAAAAGAAAGTATGGATATCTGCTATGACATAGTTGAACATGGAAAACATGATGGTAAGTGAAAGAAGCCAGATACAAAAAGACACATTGTATGATTCAGTTGACATGAAATGTCCAGGGCAGGCAAATCTATAGAGACAGAAAGTAGGTTAGTAGTTGTCAGGGCTGGGGGGGAGGAGAAAACGGGGAGTGGCTACTAATAGGTCTGGGGTTTCCTTTTGGAATGATGATGTTCTGGAATTAGATGGTGGTGATGTTCTCTGTGAATATACTAAAAACCATTAAATTATACCCTTTAAATGACTGAACTGTATCGTATATGAATTATATCTCAATGAGCTGTTATAAAAAATAGCTGTTTCACATATGACTGCATTAACTTATTATAAGAACTCATTCAAATCTATAAATCATCAAGACTTTTAAAGAAGAAATGGGCATCCTAGCTGGTCTGGCTCAGTGGTTAGAGCATTGGCCCTCGGACTGAAGGTTCAATTCCAGCCAAGGACACGACACGTACCTCAGATGCAGGCTCAGCCCCCAGTAAGGGCGTGTGCGGAAGGCAACCAATCCATGCGCCTCTCTCACATCGATGTTTTGCTCTTTCTCTCCCTTCCACTCTCTCTGAAAAGCAATGGAAAAAATATCCTTGGTTGAGGATTTAAAAAAAGAAGGAAGAAGAAAAAAGAAGGAGGAGAAGAAGAAGAAATGGGCAAGGAACAGGCACCAAATACCTCAAGTAAACGAGAGATGAAAACACATAATATTCAAAGACGATTTAAAGCAACCAGAGCCCCGGCCAGGTAGCTCAGTTGGCTAGAGCGTTATTCCGATATACCAAGGTTGAGAGTTCAATCTCCAGTTAGGGCATCTATAAGCAGCAACCAATGAATGTATAAATAAGTGGAACAACAAATAAATGTTTTTCTCTCCCTCCCCCCGCCTCTAAAAATCAATAAATATAAATTACAAATGAACAAACAAACAAAAAAATGCATTAAAGCAACCAGAGACAGCATGCTACATTTTCAATTAGGGGGGATGAATTAATAGATAAGAATGCTTAAATATGTTTTCAATACACACAGATACCCAATGCTGGCAAGACTAGGATAAAGCAAGTATAGTCCTACACATGCAGCTGGGACCATAAACCTGTGTTGCTGTTAAAATGTTTCTGGAAAGCAATTTGATAATTTGTCAACAAAGCAATAACAGAACAATTGTCACAGAAATACTGAACAGAAGTGGGTATAAATACAGTTAAAAATTTAGGTGGGCATTAAGAAAGGATTAGTGTCAAATCAGAAGTACATAAAAGTTATACCCACGACCATAAAAAAATATTTTCTAGCTCTGACCCTCAAGTATTTTAGCAGTAACATCATTATCTTACTCACCACCAGATTGTTGTAGAACAACATGAAATGAACTCAGGGCACTCAGATCTATTTCTAATAGTACTCCCCACTAAAATAACCCAGAAAAGCACTTGACTCCATGTCTTTGAAAAGAAGAAAGACGATCAACATGATCCAAGAATCCCTTTCTGGGGCTGAAAAGGACGTGCCTTCACAAATTGTGGAAGCAGGAAAGGGCAGGGAAGCTGGCCTATAGGGGTTGCTACTGGCCACGTTGTGTGTAAACACTAAAAACAGATCAGTAAGCACAGCTAATCAGAATAAGCTGAAACCAGGAAAAATCATAAGTCTATAACAATACATACGGATGATAAAAAGTATATCAATATTATAACAACAACTGAATACTTACTTTTATAAATTTGAATAGCTAAGGGAGTACAGCCAAACAAAACTGTTTCTTGTATTATGCATATATTTGTTCATAAAGGATAGACAAAAATGTCCTCTCTCCATTTAAATAGGGAAAGGAGACACAGAAAACTATGAAGAAGCCAAAGTCCTACAGAAACTGCACCAAGAACAAGAAAGACAGGTGGGCACAGAGTAATCAACAGTGTGCAGCAGGTGACAGCTCAGCCACCACAAGAGATGTTCATCTTGAGATGGGCAAAACACATAACAAAGTAAAAAACAAATCTAGAGAGAACATCCTGTAACCCAAAGATAATGAGCATGGAGGTGGAGAAGGGAGGCAGCAGATGGTAAGAACAGGCAGGAGCCTGGGCAGTCCCCTCAGTGCCATATAAACCTCAGATCCACAAGGCAGGCAGCCTCAGGCAGGGTCACCCCGGAATACACACCATGTCCCTGCTCCCAACCAAGGAGCCATCATCAAGAACTTTGGAGCTGTACCACAGGCAAGAGGAGGAAGGCTTCTTTTACTTAAAGGTCTGCTAAGATCATTATAATTCTAGGCAAAGTATGAAAATATGAAGGAATTAACCAAACACACAGTATCAATGAAATATTAGGAGAATATGACTAATTGACTTTGTAAAAAAATATCTAAGAGAATCTGGCAACCAGAGGTACAGGTCCTCTAGCTGGAAT